GGGCGGCACCGGGTCTGATGGGCTCCCAGCCCCGCGCTCGGCACATCCTCCCTCCCGCCACCTCGCCCTTCCAGAGTCTCCAAACTCCCACTCCCTGAGCCAGCCCGGCGGGGCCCTGTCCCCAAAGGGAACCCCAGAGGCTGGGCCGTGGGTGTGACTGGGTCCTCCCGCCCAGCCCTCCAGCTGTCCCTGACGCTCACCTCCATTGTCCACATCGCCCCAGCCTGTCACCCAGCACAGCATCCCTGTGGGGAAGGTCTCAGAGGCGGAGGGCAGAGTGACCAGCTGGACGTGGCTGCAGATGTTCACGGGGTCCTGGAGCTCCAGCAGGGCGATGCCGGCCCCGTTCTCAACCGTGTAGTAGTCGGGGCGGGGAGGACCCTGCTGGCGGGCAGCAGCTGGTCTCCGTGACAGAGGTGCTGCTGGCGCAGCTGCACCCTGATGTCTGCGGGGTCTTCGACATCCCTGGGAGAGGGGGCGCCCCTCAGGGGCCTGAGCAGCCTCCTGGACCCTCCGGGGCGTGGGGGGAGCCCCAGGCCACCCCACTCCGCCAGGCCCCAGCAGACTCACGGTCCCACGCAGTGTGTGGCGGTCAGCACCCACTGTGGGTGGATGAGGGAGCCCCCGCAGAAGTGCCTCCAGTAGTGGGTGTGGAGTCTCAGGCTCACCTGCCAGGGCCACTTGCTCCCAGGGGCCTCCTGTCCCCCCACAATGCCCGCTCGCTCCAGACCGAGGCCTGGGGCTGGGGCAGGAAGCGCCCTCAGGACAGGACACAGCCCGGCCCCTGGGCTCAGCCGTTCCCTGGCCCGCACAGCCCTGGGTTTCTCTGAACCCACCCGTCACTGGGCCAGTGGGGTGAGGGGCCAGGGGTCGGGACTCACCGGGGCCTGCATGTACCAGGCTCCCCAGGAGGGGCAGCGCCAGCACCAGCAGCTTTGGCATCTGGAAGGAGCAAGTAGGGGCAGCGTGAGCCTGGTTGGGGCTGGGCCCGGCTGAAGGGCTGCAGGGTGTGGGGTACAGCTGGAGTCGGGGCCCCCGAGGATCAGGGTTGGTCCGGGCCTCGGTCCTGAGGCTCGGCTACTGTGCTACACAGTGACATCCCATGTCGGAGTCTCGGTGGGGGGCCTTACCTTGGCTGGTCCCTGCTGCTGTCGACCCAGCCCGCTCTCCCCTCCCCATTTATCCTTCCAGACCAGGAGGGGGTCAGAGGAGGGGCACTCCTCCTATCTGAGAGAAGGAAGTGATGATTCAGACAGAGGCCCCCATGTGACCTGTACCCCCACCGCCCAGATGCCCGTCTGGGTGCTGATGGCCCCAAGGGTGGGCCGTGCAGCCAAGCAGAAGATAAGCCACCCCCCACCCCAAGGTGGGTCCTGGCTCCTGGGCTCTGGGGGCTGAGACGCTAATCCAGGGGGCTGGGGTGGGGGTGAGAGGGGCTCCAGTCTCCATTCCGTGCGCTTGAGTCCCCTCAGTGTGCTGGGGCTCCCAGGTCCCCCCGTGTACTGGGCACTGGGCATCTGAGCATCCCTCCCTCCATTGGCCAGCTGATCTCTGGCACTGAGATGGCATCTTCCAGCTGCGGATATCGGGCTCCTCTCCTCTGCCCAGGTGCAGCGAGGACACCCCCAGAGGCCTTCAGGCACAGCTGCACCCAGGGGCGGTTGTGCTGTCCCGACTCTATCTGACCAGTCGTTCCCACCCCAACCTGCCAAGAGGAGCCCATGTCCGTGATCCCCCCTCAGAGAAGCAGGGAGATGCCCATGGGACAGTGACACTTAGCAGTGTCACCCCTCTCACATCTCTGCATCCATGGGGGGGTGGGGCAACCCTCCCCACCTCACTTCTAGGGAGGGTCTGACATGAGGCCTTCTTGTCAGATGAGGAAACAGCTTTGGGAGGTAACAGCACCAAGTGTCCTGGGCCAGGAAGGGGCCCTGCTGCGCCTGCCCGGATGGCAGATCCAATTCCTCAGGGGGCAGGGGGGTCCAACAACGTCCATCTCTGGGTCCTCTCTGAGCTGTTCCGCTGATGGCAGCAGTACCCTGTTATCTCGGGGATCTGAGCGCCATCAGCAGAGGGACAGGCAGAAGGAAGTGACAGTGAGATAACAGAAGACGCCAGGGCCGGCTCTCCTTGGACACCCCCCACCAGGCCCCACCACCCCATCCCCCGTCCTCCATGACCAGGGCTGACCACTGTCCCTGCCCTGCCCATGACCACCCACGTCCTCACTCTCCCCGGGCCTGCTGGTCACCTGGGGCCTGCAGCAACCCCCCCCAACACACGTGCTGCCTCCTGGCCCCTCTGAACCCCCTACTGGCATCCCGGGGGCAGCTCCTGTGCCCTAGGGAGGCCTCGCCCTGCCCCCACCCTGCACGGACATCATTCTGGCTCAGGGCCGCCTGTCCCTGGCTGGCGCTCCTGCACACCCCAGGGGTTACTCAACTCAATTCCTGGGGGCAGCACCCGGGGGGTGCGGGGGGTGTCCTGGCCCCATCTCAGGCCTCCCTGTCAGCTGACCCTGCTCCTCACTCATCCTGTCAACGAACTTCCCAACGCCTCCAAGTGCCGCGACCGGGTCCCAGGCACGAGGCCGACGGAGCAGGGACAGACAGCTCACATCCTGGAACCCAGGACCCGCCAAGGGACAAGGCGGGGCTGCGGGTGCACAGAGGGCCGGTGCCTCAAGCAAGGCTCTGATTGGCTCAGACCTAGGAGGCCGACCAATCAGCAGCTTGAGGATGTTATTGCTATGATGGGCTAGCATTGGACCAATAGGGGGGCGGCCCTGGGATGCCTCGCCCCGATGCCCTGGCCCCCTCACCTGGAGGGGCCACAGCGGGGCGGGAGGATGGAAGCTGGTGGGAAGGAGTTAACAGACCCAACTGGGTCCTGCGGGAGACCCCTCAGGGCGAATATCCTTGCTTCACAAGCACGACATCCTCACTCTTGCAATTTAGTAACAAAAAGTTGAACTCCCTCATATAAAATCAGTAACAACCAAAATAAACACTTAGTTGAAGAAATATAAATGACCATATGCACATAAAAATATTTTTCACCTAATTAGTAATAAAAACGCAATATAAGCTGGGCGATCATCTTGGGGTTCACATTTACAAGAGCTTCTGAGACTTTGTACCATGCATTGCAAGGATATGGTGTCCCAGTGCCTGGGAAGAGAGGCTATTGGCAGGCGGTATGTGGCTAGGGCCCCAGAAGGAGTGACTTCTTGACCTTACTGCAGATTCCTAACTGAATGAGTGACTGAATGAATGAATGCCAGTGGGCTGCACTCAGTGCCCGGGGTAGCCCCTGGGGAGATCTCTGGCTGTGGCCCTCAGAATCCAGGAGGAATGACCCAGTCCGCAGAGTTCCTTCCCCTGTCCAGTTCTGGATGGGTGATCGGGCAGCTCCAAGGTGGGTCCTGTCCCACCAGGTTGTGGTGGGGCCCAGGCACTGGGGTTACTCTGGGGCCAGACACAGGGATTCTGCCTCCCCAGGCAATGCAAAACATTGACCTGAGGTAGGACCCCTAGTGAGAAAGTCAGGGGAGGACTCCCAGAGCCCCAGTGAAGGAGCCTGGGGATGCCCAGAGAGCCCCAGCCTGCCAGAGATGGGGTCCTGGAGGAAAGTGGGGCGGGGCCACCCCTGGTGGATGGGCTGCCCCTCTGGGGAGGAGGGGCCCAGAGAGTGGGCCTCCCCAGGGGCAGGATTTGAGGATGACAGAGGGAGCATGTGGGAGACCAGAGTTGGGGGCGTGTAGGTGGGGAGAGGAGGACTGTAGCCCCCGTGACCAGTGAGTGAGGGGAGAGGTCTTGTTCGCCATGGACGTGGCCTGTGCCATGCAGCCCTCACCTTCCAGGACAGGCATCGCCGCCCCTGCCACCTGTTGCTTAGAGACACTCCTGTACCTGCAGTGCTGGCCCACAGCCTCCCAGCCATCTGGAGGCCCAGGCTCCTTATGACATCTGGGGCAGCGTGAAGACCGAATGACAGAGACCACGGCCGGTGCAGAGCCCTCACGGTCTCCCCTGTTGCACTTCAAAAGGACAGTTCTCTTGAATGAAAAGAAGAATGGCTAAGAGGAGCTCATACTCCAGGAGGGTAACCTGTCCTCCCAGGCCAGCCCCACCTTTCCGAATCCAGCCCAGTGTGGTCAGTGAGGACCCCAAGCCCGGGACAGCTGCTTCCAGCCGAGATGGAGCATCAGGAGCCGAACGTGACCCCTGCTGTAGACGGCTAGACCTCGGGGGAAGTGCGTGACACGGCGGCCTACAGACTTTGGGCAGCAGGCAGCATGGAGCTGTCCCTGAGAGAGGGGTAGACAGCAAGGTGAGACCTAAAGTTACAAGAGCGCACCATCGGGAGGCAGTTTCCAGGCCGCGGTGCAGGTGGGAAAGCCAAGGCAGCCAGAATTTGTGAGGCAGGGAGCCAGGGAGGAGACGCCTGCACACAGAGAGCTCCAGAGACCCGCAGAGCGGCCCCCTGGAGTCCTGCCAATGCGTGAGAGGACAGTATCAGCCTGAGGCATGAGGTCAGGGACGTGCACCATCGGACAGGAGTGGGGGAAGGACTCCTGGAGCTCACACGGGGCTGGGAGTATTCCACGTTCCCCCCACTGAAGGGAGAAACCTCACAGTACACAGCAGTGCTAACGTCCTCAGAAGGGGCCTTTAGCCTCAAAGGGATCTAGTTGATTCCAAATTACTTAACTGCATGCTACAACACAACCCAAAACTATTTGAAGGAATGTAACAAAATCCAGCAACACAGCATATAGCATTCACAAGCTCTGACGTCCCATCAAAAATTACCAGGCGTGGTCACAAAGAAAAATACCATATGACTCTAATTCCATGAGGGCCCTGGAGCGTCACACTCATAAAGACAGAACATAGAAGGGGGAGGGGGTGCCAGGGGCTGGGGGAGGGGAAGTGGGGGTAGTTTAATGAGGACTGAGTTTCAGTTTTGCAAGATGAAAAGCGTTTTGGAGATGGGTTTCACAACAGTGTGAATGCACTTAACACGACTGAACTTTATGCTTAAAAGTGGTTAAAATGGTACAGTTTATGTTATATGTATTTTACCACATTTTTTTTAAAGTTAAAACATTTACCAGCCATGAAAAGGAATAGGAAAAGATGATCACTCTAGACAGATCCAGAAATGATGGAGATGATGGAACCAGCAGACAAAGATGTTGAAACAGCTGTTGGAAGTATGTTCCACGTGTTCAAGAAGGTAGTGGATACAGGGGTGTGATGAGAGAGGTGGAAGCTATAAAAAAGACCCAAAGGAATAGCTAGAGATGGACAATAACAGAGCTGTATTGAAAACAATGCACAGTGCATGGGGTTCTCTAGACACAGAAGGAGAGGATACAATTGAAGACATAGTAATAGAAACTATCTAAAATGAAGTACAGAGAGAAGAAAGGCAGAAAAAACCCAACAGAATCACCTGGGAATCAAACAGTGTAGAATAAACCGGGGCCCCAGAAGGAGAGGAAGAGGAATAAACTAAATTGATATTTGAGGAATTAACAATCAAAAACTTTCCATATTTGATGAAAACTATAAACCCACAGATGTAACAATCTCAGTGAACCCCAAATAGAATAAACCTAAAGAAAAACACGCCAGAGCAGGTCATATATTGCTGAGAACCACTGACAGAGAGAAAATATTAATAATATCCAAGGGAGGAAAAACACGTTACATTGAAGCAGAGAGAGAAATGACAGGAGACTTATCAGAATCTATGAGCCAGCAGATGATGGGAAGTCATTGTTAAATTAGTAAAAGAAAGAAAAAAGAAAAAAAGACTATCGACATAGAATTATTTACCCGGTGTAAATATCTTCAAAAACTGAAGGTGAAATAAAGGGTTGTCTGAACCAAACAAACGCTGAGAGGGTTCATTTCCAGCATATCTGCACCACGAGGGATGTGGAAGGAAGGCCTGCGGGCAGAAGGGAAACGATGGCAATGCAGACACGTTCCGGAAATGGAACTAACTGTGAACGTGGAAGACGTTTTCCTCATCCAAACAATATTTAAAGGATAAAAATTGTTGGTTTAAAGGAAAAACACAAACAAGGTACTGTGTGTTCATAGCCAGTGTGGAGGCAAAATGTGTGACCACATAACACAAATACGAGGGGGAATTTAACGCCTATTGTTGTCAGGTGAAGTTGCTTGTGAAGTTGTATAATTTTTTTTTAATT